CCTTTGGATAATTGTAGGGGAAACACTGAACACACTTAATACTTTTGGTATTTACAACTTTTATATTTTTCAAAATATTTAACTTTATTTTCAAATTTTCTTTATATAATGCATTTTTTCCAGTTTATTTGCRTTTTGAATTTGAGTTCTATGTAAATCTTTTGGATTTGTGACGTGTCTGGATATCTGCGTTGGTTTTTATGCAGAAACAGCAGAGATACTGATAAACGCAGCTTCAGAAGAGACGGAGGATTCTGACTTCTGGGAGGGAGTAACGAGGCCAGGGAATTCAAAAGCCTCTCAACACGACAATGAGGTATGTGTTTGGGAAGACTCTCATCTAGGAACACACAAAATTTGATTCTAATATCTACAAAATTACCTGAGTTATTGTCTTTTTGTGTGTTTGCTTATTTCTTTTTGCTCTGTTGATCTGATTGTCGTCCTTTTGCCTTCGGGTGTGGATGTTAAAAATAAGTGACGTGACAGAAACGATCCTATTAACTGACCACCTGTTTGTTGTGTTACTCAAAATAAATCAGTTTTGGTCCTATATTCCTTTGTAGTTTTGCTAAAACAGGTCAGATATTTTGTTAATACTTTTTTTAAAAGTGTCAAATTGTAAAAACAAGAATTTTTTTTCGTTTAAGAAAGTTTTTCTTCTCAGTCAGGAGCACTGTTGACCACTAGAGAGTGTAGTTTGTCACATTTTCTTTTTGATTTGAACCCACCGACAGGTAACAGATGGAGACTATAACTCACCAGCAGACAATGATGGCGATGAAGGTACAGCTTCAGACTGTAACTCCTGATCATTCAAGTCGTTATTTTACAACAGATCATTTATTTCTGTCCCACTGTCTTTTTTTTATTTTGAAACCTTATTCAGTATTATTTATTTGCTGTGACATTCTTTATGCACTTCCTTAATACTGTTCTCCTCTAGTAGAAAGATTCAACTTTAAAATCATCACAGACCCGGCAGATTTGATGAAATTCGTCGAACATCTAAAGGAAAGCAACAGAAAGGTCAGTTCTGTTTTTTTATTTATTTGTTTATTTTTTTGGGAGGTGCAGAAGTGTTCCAAATGTTTTGTCTTTTGTTTATAATTATTTTAGAAAGCACAAAACGAGGCTAAAAGTAGAGACGAGAAAGCAACGAGCGACACGCAAACAGAGAAGCTCAGAGGAGATGAAAAAGACGAAGACGAGCAGCTGATGGAGGAGTTTGAAGACGAGGTGGCTGACTTCTCTGTGCCTTCTGAGAAGATTGAAGAGATAAAGGAGGAAATGCAGAAGGAGTTTGACAACATCATAGACGAGGTTTCAGAAATGAAAAAGTGGCTTGAAATCAGAAATTGTTGTAATTCAACAAAACTACCGTATTTATTCATGTATAATACAATCTCGAGTATARTACTATCATCATTTTTGAGCTTAAAAAGCATAAAAAAGCTGATCACCAATAACCCGTGTATAATACTACCCCGCTTCTTTATGGAGGATTTTTAGGGTTAAATTTCTAGTATTATACATGAATAAATACAGTATGTGTTTTTGTAACGCTGGCTGTCTGTTTGTGTTTTAGGCCCAGCAGGAATTGGAAACAGAAGGCCTGAAAGGAGAGTTTGATCGAACTCAGGCAACACAAACACTGGAGACAACACTGGATAAGCTGCTCGATCACCTCGAGGAGAAAGATGCTCAAGACCCACAACAGCAAACGACCCAAAGAGGCAGGGACCCGACCAGAGGAAGCCCCAGTCTGGCTCCCAAGCAACCAGGTAACGTTGAAGCACCTTAAAGCCATCCTGTCATCATGTTCCTGTTCATTCACTCTGTCAGCGTCACACGTTGGTCACGTTCATCATCACCGTTTTTTGTGACATTCCCCATCTCCCAAATGCTTGAAACATTAAATTTGATGCAAACATAAGAGATGTTAAGACTTGACTAGTTGGTGGTCTTCGCTGCCTTTGTGGGTGACGTCAAAACTGAAATGAATATAATCAAACAGTAACTGAAATTATAACCAAGAGTTATTTTTTGGGGGAATCGTGGCACTTATCGCCTCCATCTTGCCGATGGGCTTTGAGGTGAATTATCTATGTTGTCCCTCTTTTGTCTCGTCGCCCCAGAACAAGCAGCTGACGACCACGTTAAGATCAAAATTACTAAGTATAAGACGGGCAGCAGCCCTGATGGGGAGGTCAGAGTTCAGGAGATGGGCGAAGGAGACCCCCAGTGGCAGCACATAAAGGACGTGGTTAAAGAACAGCTAGAGAAGGCAGGACTAAAGGCCGAAGGTATGAAGGGCAAGTTCTGCAATACTCGACGGCCTTTTYTCTTTTCCATCTCCTGTCTTGAGCACAAACTACTGCTTTATACTGCTCCCATCTTGTCAATAATTTACACCTTTTATATCYTTTTATTCTAAAGCTTTCACCTTTAAGAAAAATGGAAATCTCTCTCAAATTTAATCCTGTGAAGCTGAAGCTTGTTTTAAAATTAAATAGAAATCATTTTTTTTATCCATGTGTGTTCTTTCTTTTTCATCCACTAAAATCCCTCATTCCTCTCATTCTAATTCAACTATAATTCAGCTTTATCACTCTTTAGCCGCTCAGAGTTCATGTTTCTCAACATTGTTGTTCTCTTTGTTCTTTCTTAAGGTAAAATTGAGGTGAAGATCTTGACACGAAAGAATGCAGAGGAGGCAGGTGACCAGTGGCTGACTGAGGAAGATACAAAGTCCTTTAGGGAGCTGCTCATAAATCTTCTGGTAATTTGAGTTCTCAGAATAACAGTTTTTTTCTTTGTATGACCTCTTTCAGGTGTGAGATGAACACACATTATGTTGCTGTAGCTGTGTGCTGTGAAGTTGATTGAGTTGTGCAGTAATGAAGTGAAACCACAGTTGTGGCACAAATGATAAGGGAGACAGGAGAAACCCAGCGTGTTGTTTTTTCTCAACTGATTCCAAAAGAAATTTTGAGCTGATTTTTCCTCTTGTGAGACAGTTCYAAACAGTAGAATGTGTTTAAACTTAAATTATAAAGCAATGTATTTTAAACTAAGCTTATCAATAGAGTTTTGTCTAAATGGGAAGTGCTGTCTCACTAAGAGAGCAGTGTGACCCAACAATCTGGCACCTAATGAGGACATAACWGAAGAGCTATCACTGAATCATATTTTACACAACAGCTACCTGTAAATATATAAATTAAGAATAGTTTCAATGTAGGATGAACTATAGTTTTTTTATACTAAATACATTTTGAAGCCTTAACATATTTCGTACTTCTACAGTTTCACAGACACATAATGTTTGACACGTCAGGTGAAGTAAATTTGTACTTTGTCCTGACAAACAGGACCCTTTTATACTGTGTCAACAAAAAGCTACAGCCAGCAGCTGTTTGACTGCAGTTAAACATAAGTTTTATTATCTGTACCAACATCAGTGTTATAAAACATAAATGATTTGATTAGTAATCGTAACACAAAAATTAAGATTGTTGCTGTACAAATGCTTTGTGGCAATAAATTTTATACAGTCAGAAAGCCTGTTTATTTTTCTTTAAATGGTGCCACATTTGTTAGGAAAATGCATTTGTGGGTTGACGATCAGAGTTAAGTTTGTGGGTTGTGCCAGTGGAAATGCTGTTGTCTTTTGTTTTGGGCTTCTGGTACCCCAGATGCTGACTATCAGGTGCTGATTTGTCTGAGACTGAACTCTACCCTCCAAAATAACAAGTCTTGCCTTAAGGTTCAGTGTTTGTCAGTATGTCTAGAATTTGGGAGTGGAGGTAGATGATTTTGGGTCTGATATTTGTTGCAAACACAACCTTTCATCCAGTAGCAGTAGAGTGGTATGCCATCCAACGAGTTTTYCTAACAAGTATAGTGTCTTTTAAGGGGAAATAAACAGGCTTTCCCAAAGTATGAGATTTATTACCTAAGAAGCACTCTTACTTTTTATTTTTTATTTTATTTTTTACTTTTTTGTGCTCAGTTTATGTAAAGCATACAAATATTTCAATACAGGAACATTCATGATCGTAAATTTGTTTTAGAGCAGTGGTTCTCAACCTTTTTTGGGCCAGCGCCCCCCTAGCCATGACTGAGGACCCCATTAAAAACGTTGTAGACTACCTGCATTAAAAAGGATTTTTTATTAGTTTTTATTATTAGCTTGATGCATTATTTTAATATGCTTGCTCGCACTAACAAATATGTACAAATATTATTTTAGCAGATTTTTTAAATGGAGTTTGGATTGAATATTGTTTTGAGTAATTTTAGATTAAATAACCCTCTTTTATGCTTGTTTGTGTTTTTACATTGTCTTTTATTCATAGACGTTTAGGCATATTAACAAGGTCGTAATCACCATCTCAGAAGTGAGGGGGACAAATTTTTCAGAGGTCTATTGAGTTTTTTTTTATCATCTTCTTGCATTCAATCAAACCTAGTAGTTGAAAACACACCTCACACAGGCGSCAGGAGACAGACTTTAGTTCTTTTACACATCCTACTATACTCGTCTTTGCTGCTAAACCATTGCCATCAGAAGCACTGTAGTGTGYGTGAAGGGCACACTGGTGGGGGTCTGGGGGTTCTCCCCCAGGAAATTTTGATGAAATTAGATGCTGTTTCCTGCATTCTGGAGTAATTTAACAGGTTGCKAAACAWATTTTTAYCTACATAAATAAACACGATTCCATAACTATTTTAGAGACAGATTCATCAACTAGTCCATGTATGAATCACCCTGGTTTTAAACTCACTGCTGGCCAAGATCAGGAAATGAATGTGATTATTTATCAAACGAGTTTAGAGTTCCATTTTACTTTTTTTAATTCCTGATTTAGTTTTATTTGTAACACATGACAATGTGCCAAGCAGTGCTGACTCCACTACATGTTTAAAATAAGAATATTAATAATTTTACTCAATAAACAGGTGTAATTATGATAATCACCTAAATTTACTGACGGACCTATTCATAATCAAAACTAACAGGACATCATGCAACCTACAAATAAAAAAACTAATATGTTCCTAAAAGAGTATTAAACAAGCAGCTTTTCATAAAAATCAGGTCATTATTAAGTAATTTTAACTCATAAACCAAGTCTGGGATGAAAGATCACGTGTAGCTGCTAACCTGGATCTATCGCTGCTGGGTTTGTGTCCAGGTTCGTGTCATCACTGGCCCGGCTGATTTGTCACTCTGACCTCGGCCCTTCCATCACAGAAAATTTACATTATTTAGCACATTTGGTTGGAACTTGCACTACTCCCAGTTTCTTTGTTCACCTTTCTTTTTTAACATTTGCTAATTTTTCCAGCTCACCTTTCTTCTTTCTGTTTTACAATTTGGGATGGGCTGCTCGCATTGAACGTTATTTCACCAGCTGCGTCGGTACACAGCAGCATTTTGCAGCCGCCTGACCCRACAGAACACCGGCCGTCCTGTGATCGTCCAGAACTCACAGACAGCCAGTCTGCCGCTGTGTCTGACACACGGTGCAGCTCTGCACCCCTCGGTGATCCACAGGTGTATACACCCGCGTTTTCTCATGGTGCGTTTAAAGATGGCTCGGAACAACGCGTTACCGCACCTTAATAGCAGACTAGACAGTTGTAAAGGTTGAAAAAAGGGATATACAGATTTTATCGCAATTCTCCAATTTCAGATAAAAAAAGTCTTCCACGGGTTACCATGAAACAAACTGTTCATTTTCCAGATTAGTAAATGCCACGTGGGGGAAATTTTATAGATGATACTCTGATGTCCCGTTCTCCTGAAGGCAGCACAGAGCTGCCCAACATGAAGCCATGAGAAAAGAAACATGATACAGTTGCAGTGCCATGCATGTTTTAATGTTACAGACCCCAATTTTTCACAAGCAGTTCAAAGTTTAAACTGCTGCTGTTGTGAATCTTTGGTGAAAATTTTACCTTCAAGCAAACGCCCCCCAAATGTATTACAGTGCCCCCTTTTTGTAAATATTGCTGCCAATGCCCCCTGGCACCGTCACAGCATTGAGAAACACTAATCTAGAGTAAAAAGTGAATATGGTTAACATACAGTAGTTTAAGTGTCTTACTTTTCAAGTGAAGCATGATGAGCTCAAACTTAAGGGTAAATCTAAGGTGCTGTTTACCTCAGCAGCCAGTTTTTAGACCTGTGACTCCAGTTTAACAAAACATGCACTAATTAAGTTGTCATTTTTCTTTGTGGTGTCAGTTACCTCAGAGTTCATAATGATTCACACAAAACGCTTGTTTTTCTTTTCATGTCTTTGCAAACCGTGAACTAAAATAACCCCAACACAGGCAGACAACAGAATACAAGAGTATTTGTTGCTAAATAAAAATCTCTACAAATCTCTCAGATTTAAGATTTTCTTTAGCTAGAGATCTGTAAAGAACTATAACATTCTGAGATATGTTCAGGTTTTCTTCTGAACATTTCAGCTTCTTCTGTAAGCACTGACTCAAGACGTGATGTTTGTTATCTCTCTCAATGTTTTATTAAGAATTCTTTTTTTGTTTTGTTTATGAATAGTTGATAGTTTTTTTTTCATCAATACAAAGTTTTCAGTGCAAATGACTGGCTCAGACCTCCAAAACTGATAATGTTGACATTTTTGATGAGTGCAAAATGACTTATCTGTGCTGACCTTGTTTGTGCATCAATGCTGCACCAAGGAGCGCTGCTCTCATGCAGCCTGGTTTAGGCTCCGATTAGTCGTCTAATTTAACTAGATCTAGCCAGGATTTTTACCATTTCTAATACCTGTGTTTTGTAAAAGTCTATGGTTAATAAATGTTTATTTGTTGTTTAAAAATTCTTCAATGTGAAAAGAAACCTTGATCTGTAAAAATTTTTAAAACTTAATTGTAAGCATGTTTAATGTTTGTTTTGGTAGCTTAAACTTTTTATCTGTTCAGTATTATAATACTTTCAAAAAATCACTATAATTAATAGTCTTTGTTGCCTTTTTAGTTACTAAATTTCTAAGTTTTAATTTAAGGGTGAAAATAAGTTGGCTTTAATTATTAATTTGTGATGATCAGGGACAAAGAAAGGTGTTGTGTGAAAAATGTCCTTAAGGTGATACAGAAATAGTTGTGAGCTTGTTTTAAGAAGGTTTTTCAGCAAGTCAGGTGACATTAGATTGACAAACTTGTGGTTGAAATCCTCTTTATTTTTACCCGGCAGACCGGAGGCACTGAGGAGGTTTACAAGGAGCAAAAGAGGCAGCAGGAGTTGGAGAACAACTATAGGTTTGTGTGGGGAGAAAACCAGGAGGATAACCAGTCATCCAGCACGACTGACTCAGACGATGTGGACATTTGAGCTGGTACAACCCTCTCTGTACCTCTGCTGCGATCGTGAACTCCTGTGGAAACCAGCGGGGAGAAGGACTATGAGATGTTGTGACAGTTTTGTTCAGGAGCCCCCTTGAGTTCTGTTAATGCAGTTGAACTTGGTGAGCTCTGCTGTTTGCACATTCAAAGCATTACTTAACTGGTCATGAAAAGGCAATAATGTTGGCGTCTTCGATGGACAACCTGTTGCATAATGAAACCACAGTGAGTCAGCTGGAGATGTGCTGTTGAATGAAGTAACTTTAAAGTCCTTAAGTGACTCAGAAGGTGAATTTTGTAATGAAAAGCACTGTTGTGTGTGCAAAAAGGAAAAAAAAAAAAAAAAGAATAAATGCTCAAATCTCCACATTCCAGTTCTTACTGGCTTTTGAAGCTGATGTTTTGTGAAATTTTCCATGCAAACACAACTATAGATTTAACAGTTATTTGTGCAGTGATGCACTGTTATAAGATCCTGTAAAGTCACAACATCATGTTTAGTTTTAAGATGTTTTGTTCGTTAATTTGAAAACTGCAAGGAAATCCCAAAGTATGTGTTTTACTTTAGACAAAACACCCTTTAATTTACCTTACTGTAATAAAAATAAAGCTGTAATGTTAATATTATTGAGCGTACCAAATTAATGACTACTCACAAACCCCCTCAGATGTGTATTTAAAGGGCTGCATCTGTACAGTTTGTGAATAAGTTGGCCTTTTGGAGCTCAGTGTGTACATAATTATTGTGTCAATATATTTTGAATTTGTTTTTGTTGTGTATCAACATAGCTTAAGTGGGGATTAATTAAATATGTTTGAAAAAAATCTGAGTAATTAAGCAAAGTCTATCTGGCTTTGTCGTGCAATATACCGCACAATGAAAACATTCACACAATGCGGGTGTTTCTTTTCTTAGTCATCTGAACAAGCAAAGAATTTCACTTCCAACAGCTTGTGTCTGGCATACGATAAATCAAGACTATGGAGTTCACTGATTACGTTTAATGTGTTTGTGTACTACAGAGCTCAATTTCTTTGATTACATTAATTAAAACAGAGAGAAATTTACAAAACAGACCCAGTTCTGACATTTGTCGTGCTCAACAAAAAGCAACCTGTTACTTAAAGTACAGAATTTCAGCCCAGTTTGACCAAATTGGTTGTAACTGTCCATTTTAAGCATGAGGGGTTCATAGTTTAAAACTCTGTCATGAAAGGTAGATAATATGCTTTTCTTCGAGAAATACCCACCGTAAATTAAATATACGTCTAATGCAATCTGATGCAGAAAATATTAAACTGATGGGTGTTTGAATCAATGTCACTTTATTAGGAACATAACATTTGCTCACAGACTTATCAAATGTCTATCTTGGCTTGTGTATACTGCAGCCACTCCAGAATTAATGTTTGTACATTTTTCTTTAATATGATCAACAAAGACATTCCAGTAATAAGATCACACACATTTAACTGTATACCATTCTTGGAATACAATGCAAATATTTGCATACGAAAAACACCAGACAAATAGTCAAGGGTCAGAGGAAGGGTAGTGGCCTGTGGAGTAATTATTTATTTAGTAAGTTAGTTGAAATGCACAAGCGGGTTGACAGTAAATTTGACCGGAAGTATTTTATTTTTCCTGGACGGACATCAAGAAACAGTCGCGCAAGGTTAAATTAATTATGCTGAATAACATTCCTAACAAAAATATACTTTTTAACAATAAAAACACGAAAATGGGCAGGGAACGTGGAATGCTTAATGTCTTGTGGACTCATTATTTATTTATTTAGATAGTTATTTAGTTAAGTGCACGAGAGTGTTAACCCTAAAATTGACCGGAAGTGGTTTTTGTTCCGCACGGAAGGCGTCACGCAGTCACACAAGTTGCAGATGTTTACACAGTACGTGGAAGAATTTCCCGTTAGTTTCTATTCTGCGTTCGTTTGGCGGAACTACGGAGCTGGTTTGTCAAGTCAGTGAGTGACGTTTCAGCTGTGTGTAGCTGCGACAAAAGGGTAAAAAAAAAAAAAAAAACTTCACAGCAGAAGTTAGCAGCAGCGACTCCGACCAAAATAGCACAACGAATTAGCTCGTTAGCTTGCGCCCGCCACAGGACGGGCAAACGGACGCAACGCAGGACACGAGTAAACGATTAACTAGATATGGCTGTGAGTGTTAGTAAAACGTGTATTTTTATTTCTGGGACTTTATACAGTCAGCGCTTTGGTTAGCTTGCTCCTGTCACGCGCTGTGTATGAACGCAGCTTCATGGCTAGCTGAACTGTTTTTTTTTTCTTTTTTTTTTTTTTTAAAAGAATAGGAAACGCTGCCTTATTTTCTGCTATGCTATGTAACTTACACTGGTAAGGAAACCACACCTTACAGCAGGGGAGTGACAAATGACACTTTTACTCTCGCCTACCAGTCTCCCTACAGCTGGAAACTTGACGTCCATGCTTCCTCTTGATTTTTCTCCTGTCACGTTCAGCTCCTGCCGAACTGAGCCACTGCCATCTGGTCCAGCATGAAGGCCCTGGGATCCAAATTTTCCTTTTATGCGGGTTTTGTGGTGGGAACCTTCATGTTGTACGTGTTCTTGCGACAGATATGGTTTGAGAGTGCAGCTCAGCAAAGCTTAGTGAAACATCATGACCCCCAGCAACTTGAGGAAGAGGAATGGAAGAAGGACAGATCTGCTCTCTTCCGTCTCAAACATCCTCATCATATAGGTACGTGATGTTGACCAACTCACATAAACCAGTTCATTGCTTTATTCACTTTGTTCACTAATGGAGACTTTTTTACATGCATGTATTTGAGTGAAATAAAAGGGAAATTACAGTGCTTTTAAATATTTTGGGATAAGTAAAGTCATGGTAAACATTGTCATTTGTTGCAAAAACTGACAGCTATGTATTTTTAGAGATAGACATGGAAGTCTCAGCAAATAATCTGTGATAATTTTTTTAGTGGTTACAATATTAGTAAGTTCATTAGTATTAAATAGTTATAAACCTTTAGTCACCCCAAAGATTGAATTAGTTCCCGCTTAATATGTCCACTTCTGCTGGTGAGAAAACTGTGTTGGTGAATTACTGGTTGATTTGTGGAATATAGGTAGAAAACATGAAGTAACAATTTATTAGTTTGATGAACAGTTTTTTTTTCACCTTCAGGAAAGGTGAACAGTTTTTGTTGATTTCACAACTATAAGATGGAGTGTGAACAAATGGAATTTTGGATACTCCCCCTATTTATGATCAATGCAAATCTCTGTTATTTCAACTTAGCAAATAAAAAATATAGATATTTTGGGGGTAACAGCCCTGACATGTAAGAAAAAAACAGTCAGTAAAGATAGCAAACCTTCACCTACACTTCAAGTAGAAAGAAGCATACAGAAAGAAAGTTTGGTCCATGGCTTCATTATCTAAAAACACAATCTGTCTCAACATTTCAGTTTTTGTGCCATATTATGTTACTGGGTTTGATCTCAACAGATTTATATCAAAATGTGTTGCAACAAGGTAACAAAGAATGTTTTCACTCATGACACCAACTTGCTCAGTTCCCATCAGATTAAACTGAAATTGGTGGTGGGCTGTAGACAGATGAAATCTGACACATGTGACGACACAGTTTTGTGGAGGAAATCATTTGTGGCAGCACCAGATAATGTGACAAATTACAAGGTTGGAAATGAGGGGTTTTTTTTTGTTAGTGAACAACATCTCTGCTATGTTCCTCCTAACTTACACAACCTGTTAAAAGGTAATGCATTCAAGCACACTTGTTTTTAACCTGTTTAGAATTCTTTTAAACCGCCAGCTGGGTTTCAAGGCAGTAACAAATAGAACTTGTTTTTAGAAAAACTGCAAAAGAAGAGAGAACAAGGTGCCTTTTCTTTAACTGGTTTGACCAGCTAGGCTGTGTAGGGTGGTGAAACAACTGGTCACAGTGGTTTAATGTTTTATCTCATGTATGCAAATAATGGCAGTGAGAAACCTGGCCATTGTATAAATTCATAATTAAAGACACTGATAAAGTTATTTATGAAATGTACCAAAATAGCACAATGTGTTAGTGTGTCTGTAAAAGTAATGTGAAATATAAATGTTTAGGCGAAGCATTCAAATGTTCTCAACAGCTCACCGTGTGTGTGTGGAAACACTTTATCTGTCTTTTACATCTGATCACATGGCAGCAGGTTTTTCTAATGTTATGTCACCCTTTTTTCCCTTTACATACTTGTTGTAGGGCTGGGCGGTATGACCTCAAATTCAAATCACGGCATAAACTGAATCTCTTCACGGTAACGGTATATATTGCAGTAGAAAAGTATCATAAAAAGTAAAGATAATGTAATTTTTAGAGCTTTTCTTTGCAGAAAACTGTAATCTCAATCAAACCCAGCATTTTTGCTTTAATATCTGCCTGTCGTACAATGAGCTTCTGCCTGCTGAACTGACCCACTACTTCACGCTCATCTTCATCATCTTCATCCTCAGAGCAGAAGCCGACTTTACATTAGCAAGACGGATTTATGACTGAAAGAACGTCCACGTCTTTTTTATCATTTCTGTGGGTAACAATACTGTTACGGCAATATTTATTTAACAAAGACAGAACTACGTGGTCCAAGAATGAAGGTACTCCGTGAGATGATCAGCTGAGTTTTATTGCAACAACAGGAAACACAGAGAACAACCTGGCCTGTCTCTGTGCCTCTGCTTCCCTCTGTCACTGTCTCTCCACTGTCCACTGTCGAACACTGTGTCTCGAGAGGCCTCATATATATATTAACAAACACCATTATGTCATCTTAGCAAGATTTGATACAAGGTCAATGAAAAACACAAAGATAAACAAACACAAGTGAAATCTAAGAATGATTATTGTTCTTAGCAGATCTTGTTCTGACTTTAATCATTCTACCTGCAGATGACCAGCATGTCATGAAAACCCTAGGTCATTAAAGGATGTCATGAATTACTAAAAATGTTAGTTCTATTACAAATACATTAAAAACAAGTTTTTTTTCTCCGACAAATTGGATGTGAAAAAATACGGTTAAAGCTTCGCTCTGCGCGACATACAGTGGGAGGGAGGGAGAGATTATGATCCTGCGACACGACGTAACTTTTCTACAGTGGGAGGAGGAAATTTTGAGGATTTATTCTCTATACGTTTTAAAACGCTATAATTTCTTCATTATTCAAACTCCTCCTGCTCAGTTGTCTCTGCACTCGCAGACATGCTGACACAGGTGCTATGACGTAACTGACAATATGATGGTAGAGGGTAAATTTCTATCGTAGGCCAATTTCATACAGTTTCTACCGTCTACTGCATATACCACACAGCCMTACCTTGTTGATTTATTTAATGTAATGAGTACAGCTCGTTAAGTGTAACCGTTGTACACATTAACTGTTTCACTTAAATGAAAACTACACAAGACAATCTCAATAATCCTTAGACACATGGGTTGATTGTTTCATTGAGTAAGTTTTAAACTGTTTTGCAGCTGTGTCGACAAGCCTCAAGTCAAAAGATTTCATTTACAAAACAATTTGAGGGAAAAGCAAAAGTACAGTAATTTATATTAAATCTTAAGACAAGTAGGTAAATAGTTTTAAACTTATAAAGACAAGATCTAAAAAATATATATAAAACAGAAACATCCAAAGGTGGTCTCTTATCTAAGTCTGTTTCAGTTTTAAATCATTGTTACAAACCTGTCTTTATATTTTTATACCAGTTTGCAAGTGATAACATTTTGAGGCAATTTTTTAACTTCGCAAACAGTGAAAAAAAATCTGTAATGTTCCTCCATCAGATCTTTACTGGAAACATTAATGGGACTGGACTTGGTTTTTGGTTACATACATAAATTTGAAATAAATGAATAAATAACATGTAAGATGGCAGTGTTTTAAATTTTGCTTTGCAGACCCAGAGTCTGTGAGAACACTATTTTAAGTAAACTTTGTGTGTGTTATAAAAGCAGCTGAAAGTGGCAGCCAAATTTATTGAAATTAATTACATTTTGTTTGTCTGAGTGGCTCTAAAGTATCTTGTCTTTGCATACGTGCTGGTTAACGCTGAAACTTGTACCGAACAATCTGCACTGACAAAAGGGGTGTGGTGCTTGATACAGAAACCCCTTTTACGTACTTCACAGTATGAAATTTCAGTGACAACCCTCAGCCTTTATTTTTGAAAATCCCTTTCACTGTGTAAGTCTTGATTTAGTTTCTTTAAATACTTTTGGTCATGCTCCYGAGAGCACATTGGTTAGTACAAATGGTAGTTACACAAAAGAATCTTATTTGTTGTGTTGTCTTTCCAGGTGAGGATAGCCGCATGGCTGACGAGTTGTACAAAAAGGTGCGAATTCTTTGCTGGGTGATGACAGGACCCAACAACCTGGAGAAAAAGGCTCGGCACGTGAAGCACACATGGAGTCGTCATTGCAACGTTGTAGTTTTCATGAGCTCTGTGGATGATCCTGACTTCCCCACAGTGGGATTGGGCACTAAAGAGGGCCGCGATCAGCTGTATTGGAAAACAATCCGAGCCTTCCATTATGCCTACGAGCATCATGCCGAAGAGGCGGATTGGTTCCTCAAGGCGGATGACGACACCTACGTGATTGTAGACAACCTGCGATGGGTCCTTGCTAACCACACGCCTGACGAGCCAATTTACTTCGGCCGAAGGTTCAAGCCTTACACCAAGCAGGGATACATGAGCGGCGGCGCAGGCTACGTCCTGAGCAGAGAGGCTCTGCGGAGATTCGTAGACGGTTTTAAAACCAAAGTGTGCACACACACCACCTCTGTGGAGGACCTGGCAATGGGGCAGTGCATGGAGAAGGTCGGGGTGCTGGCAGGAGACTCCAGAGATACTTCACACAGAGAGACGTTTCACCCGTTTATCCCTGAGCAACACCTCACTGCCAAGTTCCCAAAGAGCTTCTGGTACTGGAGCTACTGCTATTACCCCATCTCAGAGGTAAGTGTAACAAATGCTGTGGTATTTCTCCTAAATCCTGACAAAGTGTTAAAGCTGTTGTGGCTGTGCACAGGGGATAAAGGGATAATGGACTGCTGTAAGTGGTAGTTATCTTCAGTAGTAGTCATCTACTTTCTTTAGATTGTAGTTTCCGCAGCTCAGACTTAGAAAAGCATACATTAACATCATCATCCACAAAGCACATTAAAAAATTTTTTTAGCTTATCTGCGCTTCATTTATTTGGTTTTTATTATTTTTTTCAAACTGTTTCCACCTTATTGTTGCAAAAAACCGTCTTTACACTTGTTTTTTCTTTCACTGTTGGTTGATTAAAACTTTGGAGGAGTGACGATTCAAACAAACTAATGCATTATTTAATTTGATAACCAGCTTCTACAGCCTGCTTTCATTTACAACACACACATTGTGTCTTTTCTCAGGGTCCCAAGTGCTGTTCGGATATATCCGTGTCTTTCCATTATGTAGATGCTCCAGGCATGTATTTATTGGAATACTACGCCTATCACCTGCGTGCCTTTGGCTACAAATATCGATACCAACCCCCCACCCCAAAGGGTTATAGAATTGAACATTTACCTTCAAGAAATGCTGCAGAAGGACAAAATGAAGTGGTTTCTCAGGAGAAGGAAAACAAAGAGGTGAATGATCCGTCCCAGACTGACCTGAGGCAGGATGCAGATCCTCCCCCTGCAGATGATGAAGACGCTCCTGCAGCTCCAGAGGAAAACTGACTCTCATAACGCTTTGTGGGTCAAACAAATTTTAAGGCTGACAGAAACAAGATGGTTTTTATGTTTATCAGTTCTTTCTGACAATTTGGACTCATTGCCTGAGAGTTCTGGACTGCTTTTAGTGTGAACCGTGAGTGGAAGACTGTTCCTCAACTTGGAACATATTTTGTGATTTTTATCCTTTTTCTATTGTGTTTTTTTAACAAATGTATTTCTTGAGACCTAGAAACATTTGTCTGCTCGTACTGACTTTGAAACAAAGGTGAGTAGTTAAGTATTTAACTGATTTTTTCTTTTTTTAACTTAACAGTCACATCTAAACCACCACTTTATTGTTTAGACTTGCTGAAGTTGCTTGAGTTCATTCCAAATGTAAAATTCTAGATCAGCCAGGAGGAACCAGATCTTGGGTTTTCCAAGAAAATATATTTGATTTATTTTAAAACCAAGTTATAAAGCTTTTAAGTTCAACTACCCAGCTTTAACTTGAAAAACTCGTCAAACTTGATTTTTGGTTGCCTTCAAAAACATTTTCACCCAGGCACAAATGAAAAAGTGTTACGTGTTAAAGTCAGTCACATCTTATTTACATTTAGCTTAAGGGAGAATTTTCATCTTGATTCAATTCAATTCAATTCAATTTATTGTCATTATACTGAAACAGGGTTGTACAGTGCAACAAAATGCTTTTAAGCTAGATCTCCAGTGCAGCAACAAAAGACATAGTGCAGACAAGACATAGCGTGCATAAACATTAGACACAAACATTAAATACACAATCGTGTATATGAAGTGAACTAGGTGTGGACAACGGACAGTGTATGATTGTTCAGGTTTTGGCTGGAGTGGCTGGGGTCACCAGTTTAACAGCACGGGGAAAGAAGCTGTTCTTGAGTCTGCCGGTAGGCAAACTGATGTGGATCCAGAGTGCCAGGAAGGCTGTTCTTAATGTGACCCAGAATCAGCCTCTCAAAGCACTTCATCGCAATAGGTGTGAGAGCGATGGGACGGTAGTCATTCAGGCAGGAGATGGTGGTTTTCTTTGGGATAGGGATAACTGTAGTGGCTTTGAAGCAGGCCGAAACAGTGGACTGTGCCAGAGAGGCGTTAAATGAAAGGGCCTTAAATGTTCATTTTAAAGGTTTTTATGTTAAGGTTTAATTAGATAACTGGATTTGTAACAAGTATTTTCTCTTTTTTATCTAATTTTTTTATGTGTAAAAGTTTTCCAATCAAAGGTCAGAGAGTTTAAAAGGACCTGTTCACTATGACTAGAAACAAACATTCATAAAAGAGGGACCAGGATATGTTTGAAAGTGTTTGAAATAATACTTTTATTGGTATTTTGTTAAGTAAACACTTTGTTTTGAAGCAATGTGAGTGAAGACAGTTTATAACTTACTGTAATGTGGTATACAACTATTTTGACCCTTAAACAATGAAATATCAGTCCGGTCCAATCAACTGGAAAAATAGACTTAATTTTCAGCCTCTGTTAAATGTTAATATCAAAGTACACATAGTTGGCTGTGTATTAGGTATCATCAAAAGCAGTGTAAGTGTGTCATGTTAAGATCAGCTGTATTTAAGAGGTCTTTACCTTGGTTGTTTGTTTTTAGATTCCATATTTTTCCAGTTAACTTGGTGTGAAATTATCCAATCCATATTCTTACCAAAAATGTTATTATACTTAGTTGTTTTTTTTGGGGGGGGGGCATAACTATAATTCTCTAAATTTTCTCTGATGCATCTATTGATTCCCACAAAGAATGAAACTACAGTGAAGGCTGACTAATTTTTGTGTACCTGGGTTATAGTAGTCCCTTTTTGGTTCTTCCTAATAGCAGGAGCGTGTTTAGCAAAGAGCAAATTTCCTCGATGTGTTTTTGCTTTGATAGTTTAACCAGTTTGCTAAGTAAGTAGTGAATTACGTCCTCTTAGCTTCCTGAAACAAAAGTGAACGTATTACAAATGAATGGCTTCACTTGGTTTCGTGCCCTTCCTGAAAACTGGGTCAGGACAGGTTCCCTGCATCTGCAGACAGACATGTTTTGTGCCTTGAAAACTGAGATTGTATGAGCCATCAACTGCATATGTGACTTTGCACTGTGACATTACAATGACGAGAGGAAGACAGACTGTAGTTTTTCTGAATCCTTCTGTTGTAATGTTCACGGCCTTTGAGCCAGTGTTTGAGTTGTTTCGGTTTTTTTGTAATCAGAGGTTTTTTGTTTTAGTTTCCACTAGGTCCCTTGATGTAAAAATTCTTCATGGGCCAGACCATGTACTTTCTTCTTAGAACGAAAAGTATTTTAAGCAGTTTTCCAATATGTAACCAAAAAAAAAAAAAAAACTTCAGATGAGACACTATGATGGCCACAAACTGTTTGAAACTGAATTAATTTGGAGTTTAATGTGATTCAAATGCACTTTTGAAAGGAACTTTTGTTGTTTTTAACCACTTGAAGCCATTTTTTTCCCTAGTTGTTTTAATGGATCACAATTGCCTATCAAAGTATAATGTGTGACGAGCATGTTTTCTCTTTTGATGGCAAAAGTATTAAAAAAATACATTTTTTACATTTTAACCTATAGCATGTTTTATGTATTAAAATATAGAGAAACAAATGACTGCAATTAAAATTAACATTTTTTATTAGTTAATAAAACAGCTGTTTCTAGTTTTTGTTGGTAGTGAAGCCACACATCTGGTCCATGACAATCTTTTTGATATTAAAGTTTTCTCCAAGGGAAAAGTGTACAGCTCTGTATTTATATCTAAATTGTATTTATGTTAAAATTGACATAAAAGTCTGGTTCATTAGTATTTTAGCGTGTGATAATTCAACAGTTTTTCAGCACACAATCAGTGTGATGGTTTATGGTGAAAGATATTTTATTCACTATAAATAAATGCATATTTTATTGTACACATTGTACTGCACATTTGTTCAACATGGTGTTAATGTCAAATGGTTATTCAGGACCTGTTAAAAAAAACAAACATGCAAGGTTTAAAAGGATATTCATCCTGTTCTGGTTCTGTAAATTATATTTATTTTTTAGAACTGAGGGTTGTCATGTTGAGACATGACGGATTTTATGGTTCGTTTCTCACACAAGGATGTGTGACACCTTCCTTACGGAGAGGGTTGGGTCTGAGTAAAGAGAGGGAAAAAAGTTTAAAGGTCAAGCCATTCAGCAAACATTTATTTAAGAGGAGACGTAAGTATATTACCTCTACGTTTCACAAATGAACTTGTATCCCTTCCTCTGCAGTTTCCTCTGTACATTGGGACAAACTCTTGTCGCACTCAAAGAAATGGTTAAAAAGTTTTATTGCAACTAGAATTTGACCAGAAACACAATTTCAAATTGTATAGCCTAATTTTCTGCACAGTTGATGTCATCAATCAATCAACCAACCAATCATCTTTATTTCTATAGCACATTTTAAAAACACAGGGGTAAACAAAGTGCTGTACAATAAGACAAAAATACTGTAAGTTAAGACCATAAAAGAAACAACACATACCAGGTTCATATCAGGTGTGTTTTAAGATGCCATACAAGACAAGATCAAAGTGTGTTAAAGGACGAAAAAAAAAGTGTTTTTAAAAGAGATTTAAAAACAGGAAAGAGGAGGTCTGTCTGACACTCGGGTAAATTGTTTCATAACTTAGGAGCAGCAACAGCAAATGCTCTGTCGCCTCTGAGCTTCAGCCCAGTGTTAGGGACTGTCAGCAGCATCTGATCAGCTGATCTTAGGGATGAGGTGGGCAGTAAGGCTGAAGCAGCTCACATAAATATGGTGGAGTAGGTTCAAACATTTAAAAACAAATAAAACTTAGTACACATTTTGTCAAAAACTGAACAAAAATGTAGATCTCATCACCCACTGAACTAATGTCCTGGGTGTGGTGTAATACTAAATATTATTTCTATGAGGAGCTCTTAACATCTCGTGAATGAACCTGTGACTCACTCTTCTTTTGTCTTGACAGGTTAGCAAGAATGACCTCAATGGGACCTTAACAAAAGAAGAAAAAAACATTTTGTTGTTTTTCCACATTTACTTTGTAAAAAGACAGGTTGAGTAATAATGTGTTGATTTAATACTCACTCCCTGCTGGATCGGTGCCCCTTTTCCCCATTAGACCCACAAAACTCTCTGAGTCGACATCACGAGACATCTTCAGCACATCTTCATTTAGCTGAAAGCAGACACAGAAATATGAACTGTATGAAATATGAAATCTGTTGCAGGGACTTGGAGGAGGTGTGGAACTATGAGAGCAGTTTACCTCTCTCGTTGAACTGTAGGTCTCGTCTATGCACAGAGACTTCACTGGAAGTAACACGAGGACCACCAGCACAAACATGGAGGCAAGAGAGCAACATGTTTGGTTTCCCTCCATTGTTCTGAAATTAAAATTAGAATAATGTTCAAGCAAAATTTAAACACATACCAATGTTATCCACACATTTGCATCACCAGAGTTAAATATCTGTATTTTTATATTTTGCATCCAAAACTAATCAGTTTCAGAGACCAGACCATTGACTTAATGTTTTATTAAATATGTGAATATCACGTTTCAAATGTCGCAAGTTAATATTCTCTTGAGAGTTCAATTCTAATGTAACACAGCTGTTAACATTTTATTAATCTGCTGGTAAATCTGAAGTTGTTCCATAATTCAAAGCTCAATAAGTTCTAATAAAAGTAAAGGTTTATCATAATGTTATTTATATTTGTTTTTATTCTAAAACTGTATATGGAGGTGACAAATAAGGTTAGGGCTGAACTGTGTTACAACAGCAGAGATCATTTAATCTCCAGTGTGTGTGTGTGTGTGTGTGTGTGTGTGTGTGTGTGCGTGTGCTGAAACTGAGACATGCACATATCAAAACCAACTATATGTTAGTATTTAAATGTTACAGAAAAGTATTAAATAACTTTCACAGTCCACTATAAGATGTTCAGTAAAGGACAAGAGGGTAATTCAAAGGACAAATTAAAGTATATTTTGGTACATTAATGACACTTAACATATTGTCTGTTAAAATACAAATGTTTCAGCATTAAATTACTCTGCAGTTATAATTAAATAGAAATAAGAATAGCAAATTATTAAATTTTCTTTAGGGACAACTTGGATAAAAAAGAAAATAAATAAATTCTTACCGTGTGATTTTTTTCAGAGTAAAGCTGTGATCGGTGGTTCAAAGCAGTTGAAGTACAGAAGTCTTTCTTCCCTGCAGTTTCTCAATCAGTTATAATGGTGATGTTGAGCTCATATATATAATACAGTTAGCTCCCCACCCCAACCCATCCAGATCACAGTCCCACCCCTACACATGCATTTGTAAGATCAATATAATATAAATGGTTAATTAAACATTTTTTCTTACTTTAAAATAACTTCATCCACTTTATATGGATTTTTTAAGYGTTAGAATAATTTTTATTGAATAACATACCATTCAAGTGAAAGCAAAAAATAACTTTATATTTCTATTATTAATTAGTCACTGAAAAGGGAGGACTATAGAATATCCAAATGAGTCCACTTTATTAGCTGGCCACTGTTCTCAACAGAACCTGAACATCTTACTAAACATAGTCTTTTTGGTTGTTTCATCTCAAAAGAAATTACATTTTCAAATACGTGTGTGTTCCCATAGATGTGACAGCAGATTCTTATCAAGTGTCAGAATGGCATAAAAACCAAATCGTCTCAAAATGTATTCTCTTAATCAGTTCGTTGTGCCTTCCTTCCTCGTGTACTGTATACATACATCTGAACTGGAAAGACTGGTGAGATGGATCTCTGAACAGAAAGACCAACTTCAGACCAGATCAGTACCCTGGACCTTTGGCTTTTGACCTCTATTTCACTAAGGATTTCATGTTTTTACAGATGTGCCTTGGATTCACTAGTATGAAAATCTACATGAAGTGGAACACATTGAAGTCAAACAAGGCCAGCCCACACCAAACTTGGGGTGTCCAAACACAACAGTTCAGTCAACAAGACAATCCAGCTCAACAAACATGCTCTCTATAGATTGAGAAAGAAAGCTTGCTCTTATACAGAGATCTCCTTCTCAACTCACACCAAGGAAGAGAACTTTTATTTCAAAAAAGAAAGAGGTGGTAATCTCAAGTTTTGGCTTTGCAGCACAACACAGCCTCGAGTCTAATCCTCAGACAGTTTAACATTAATTTGCACCTTCATGCATGTGATCAAAACATCTCACATGCCGCCTAAGGACCCTCAGGATGGATGGGGGTGTTGGGACTACTGTTGCTCTCAAGTAATTAATTTAGATCAACATAAACTTTGTGTGAGAAAAACCTCGACTGTGAGTAACATTACTACAGCTGTACATGTGTTCAGTGAAAAGGAACAAGAAACATGCACTACAGCACAATATTCAGCAGGTATTATTTTCTATTCAATAAAACTGAAAACTATATTAGGAAAAGAAAAACTTGGATAACTGTGGGCGTGTGATGTTCTGAAAGCAGAGATTTCTTATGACTAAACAACTAGACATGGACTGGCTCCAACCTAATAATTGCGCTGCTATAATTTGGTGAGGCTCATTTTGCAGAAGCCAACACCCTGGAGACTGGAGCTGTTTTATTGGACTACCGAGGCCTTATCCTATCCATGAACAGGTGTCACTTTTATTTAGTTCCCCACAGAAACTCATGCGTAAGCAACACTCTAATTAACTAACTTTATTTTTTTTTAATAAATCACACAACAAGCAGGTGTTTGAACGTGAACAGATGAAACCCTTGAGGATGCTTATGTTGGAGCTGATAATGTCTTCTTATGACAGAGCAGCTAATCATTCTTCCTATTTTTTTTCAGAGATCGTACACATGGAGTGCATCCTGAGGGCTGAGTTGTGCCATTATGACCATCTTAAAACGGACCTAATTTGATGCCGCCTTTGTTGCTGCACGAATGTCCTCTAGGAAAATGTCCTCCATCACTTAGTTATTGGTTCAGAATATCATTTCCTGGCATTTATATGTTTTACTGCATTTCAAAATCACATTTTCAGAATGCTTTGTGGTTTGGCTTGAGCTTGTATTTGCTCAAGAGCAACATTAAAAGCAGTCTCTCACTCACTTGGGACCACGAAAATCTGTAAGATGATGAAGATAATTGCAACACAGCTGGTGAGAGGAGTTTATAACTAGATACCACATAGCGGTAAAATAATGACCCCCACATGCACAAATGCACCAGAACTCAGAAGACTTTATTCCTAATAAATGTCATGCTACTAGGTGCATCCCAGAATTGTAGTGGTTTGGGTGGGGGTCTTTTTTAT